CCTCCCCCGCTGGCTCCTCCGGCCGTGCCGCGCCCCCCTCCCTTGGAGGGGCTCGGTCCGGGGGGAGGGGGCCCGGCCAAGGAAGTTTTTAGGGTGCGGTCGGAGGGGGGGGGGAGAAGAGGCGAGAAAGTTTCATGCGCCCCCGGGTGGGACTCACTAGCTGCCGAGCGACCTCGGAGGAAGCCATGACACCGCGCCGGGCGGCCACCACGGGAGGGGGAGGGGAAGGGGACAGGCGGGCGGGAAGCTCCAGGCGGGCTGGAGTCTGACGTGACGTGACGTGAGCGGGGAGCGGACGGTCGGTTCCTTAACCCCCCCCCCAGACACCCTGCTCATTGGGTCCGTGCTTACCTGGCTGCCCAGGTGCCCCTGATGAGCGACCTCCTCCTCCCCGACAGTGCCAGGGCGCCCAGCTCCTGCTGGTTCCTGCTGAGTCCGGCGCGACCTAGGAGCCGGCTCCCCACAGGGAACGGAGACCAAGCAGCCAGTACATCCCCCTGTGGGCGGTGCTGCTCAGGGGGCACTTTGCACCCCACTGCCCGGAGAGCTGGAGCAGCAGCAGCACCTGTGCCTCCTCCCATCCTTCACTTTCTTCCCCCGCGCTCCGAGCTGGGCGCCCCGCTGCAGCCCCTCCAAGCCATGAAGCCGCCGGCACTCTGCCTAGTGCCGGAATGTCTTGCGCTGCCGCAACAGCAGCTTCCCCCCTCCCGCTGCCGAGCCGCACCGCGCAGGGACCCAGAGCTCCGGCAGCTCCCAGACACCCTGCTCATTGGCTCACCTGCCGCTGACCTCACTGGAACCGCTCACGCCCACCACCGGCCTTGCCTAGGGATTCTTTATTATAGGGGCGCCTGCTGGCGCCATGGTAACCCCTAACTAAGGCGCCGCTTTTGAAAAATGTGCTGATGGGAAGCGGCTGTTTCCCCTGCACCTCCCCAGCTACGTTACTGGTAGATGTACCCTTGTTTCCCTGCTTACCCTTAGCAGTGAGATGTCTGCTAGAATTACTCCCGCCTGTGGAAAAGTGTGGGAGAATTTTAGAATTTGTTCACTAGAATGCTGCACCATGACTCTTGCGAAAAGTGTGTGCTCTTTTCCCCATGTGGAGCGTCCCCCCTGCCTGACTAGGATCAGTGAGAAAGTGATGGCAATGTTGCAGAAGGTTGTGTAACAGAAATGTTTCAGTTCTGTGCGTGAATTTAATAATCCTGCTTCTGTGCATTGTCCACTGTGCTTCGCCAGATGTGGCCTTCAGGAACATCCCACGCACCCCAGCCAAGCGTCTCTGCCAGATAAGAAAGTGCCCAAGATGCAGCAAAGAAGACATGTTCCGCGAGGTCCTGCAGTGCAGAAAAAAGGGAATGAAAGGAGTGCTGGGAAGCCAAACGGCAGGACAGAAAAAAGAACCATGCGTTTGTTAAAGACGCTACTGAGCAGATGCTTGAAGTAATGGAGGAGCAAATGCAGATGCTGAAGTCCTTAATAATGCTGCAGACTGGGCAGATCAGTGCTCGACCTCCACTGCAGCACATTCAAAACTCTTTTCCATGGCCCCCCTCCCCCAACTCTGCCCGCACATTCCTTTCCACCTTCTGGGACTTCTTGGTTTCCCCTTCACTCCACCCCCTCAGACAACTTTCACAATGATAGCTGGACTTGCACACAGCTGTGAAAGTCTTCCCTTCCCTGGTTCCTCCTTTCCCACCAAGAATCTGTGTTTGTGTGTGTGCTGTTTCTTGTGCAATAAAAGCAAAATTTTATAATGGTAAATCATTTTTTTTTCTATAAGGTGAGATTGAAGGCACTGCCAATACATGCACAGGCATTTTAATCACTTTATTACTGAAATATGAGGCCCCAAATGTCACCATTGTCTCCTAGGAAAACTACATGTAATGTAACATTGAAGCAACTCAGACAGAGATATATGTTACTGGTGCTCATTGTCAAAGTGCTGCCTCAAAGCCTCCCTGATTCGAATAGCCCCCCTCTGGGCTCCTCTGACAGCCCTGGTATCTGGCTGCTCAAAATCAGCAGCCAAGCGGTTTGCCTCAGCACTCCACCCCTGAGCAAACCTTTCACCCTTAGCTTCACAGAGATTATGCAACATACAGCACGTGGCTATGACCATAGGAATATTGTCCTCAGTGAGGTCCAACCTGCCATAAAGGCATCACCAGCACACCTTTAATCTGCCAAAGGCACATTCGTGTCATCCAACACCTACTGAGCCTGTTGTTGAATTGCTCCTTACTACTGTCCAGGTGTCCTGTGCAAGGTTCCATGAGCCACAGCTGTAAGGGGTATGCAGGGTCCTCCAGGATCACTATGGGCATTTCAACACCCCCCACTGTAATCTTCTGGTTAGGAAAGCAAGTCCCCGCTTGCAGCTTTCTGTACAGGCCGGTGTTCCTGAAGATACGTGCATCATGCACCTTCCCAGACCACCCCGCGTTGATGTCAGTGAAACGCCCACAGTGATCCACAAGTGCCTGCAACACTGTGGAGAAGTACGCCTTCCTATTGATGTACTCCGTCACAAGGTGGTCTGATGCCAAAATTGGAATGTGTGTGCCATCTATCACCCCTCCACAGTTAGGGAAACCCATTTCTGCAAAGCTGTCCACTATTTCACGCACATTTCCCAGAATCACGGTCCTTTGTAGCAGGATGCAATTTATTGCCCTGCACACTTGCATTAACACAGCCCCAACGGTTGCCTTCCCCACTCCAAACTGATTCACGACTGACCAGTAGTAGCCTGGAGTTGTCAGCTTCCACACAGCAATTGCTACACGCTTCTCTACTGATGTCCTTGTGCCGCAGTCTGGGGCGAGCTTCGCGCAGAGTTCCAGGAAGGTGGCTTTCCGCATCTGAAAGTTCTGTAGCCACTGCTCATCATCCCACACCTGCATGACGATACAATCCCACCATTCAGTGCTTGTTTCACAAGCCCAAAAGCAATAATCTACCCTATACACCTGCTCTGTGAATGCCGAAAACAATCTGAAGTTGTTCCTATCCATGTCACGCAGAAGGTCGGGCGCCTGCGTGTCATCTTCAGTTAGGAACTACACGATTAACTGCACTGCCATCCGCGATGTCTTCAGGACAGCTAACAGAGCATAGGAGAAGAGTACAGGATCCAGCTCTTCTCACAAAGATGCCGGGGTGCACAGCAAAGAGGGGCCGTTGGAAAAAATACCGCCAAAGAAAGCCAGAAGCCCATGGCATGCTGGGACAGAAACCAATGCATCATGGGACATTTAACACCGTCCCAAGATGTGCCATGGTCCACTCTGTCATCCCTTAACATCTAGGTACCCACAGTGCATTGCTCACACTATGGATGATGGTGCCCCCACTGTGAACGCGATCTGCCGACAGAGGGAGCAAGTGTGAACACGAAATTGTGATTTTTATTATGTCGACTTTTGGGTGTTGACATCACTGTTGACACAAATTGGTAGTGTAGACATGGCTGAAATGTGTGGACTTTTATCTAGCCCCTGTTAAACAAGGGTCTCCCACAAGTCCCCTTTGTGATTGATCTCTCTGTTCCCCATTTTCCCCAATGTCAGGCACTTCTTCCCTTACACAGCTGAGAAGAACACTCTGAGCTCCAGCCTGCCCGTTGTCTGCTCTAACTGGAGGCAGTATCAACTAAAGGTCAATGTGAATTTCCCTAATATGCCATTAGCAATGGGGCCCTATATTTTGCCTTTATCTTGGAAATTTCTTATCTTGAAGTTTTGTGGCCTGGCTTAAGCTTTCCTCACGTTTAATGAAGCTGAGGCCTAGATTCTTGGGAGAGGGAGCGTGCACAGTAGGATTAGATTTTTCTGACAGCTGTTGCTGGGAAGTGTGTGTAATTTTTAATATCTTGGCTATTGAGAGCACAGTTCAGAATCCATCTGTGGACAGTGATGTATGCAACAAGGCTTAAGGCCTTGGGTAAATTTCTCTAGTAGCTACATCAAAGCCAACCAGGATAAGCTTATTAATGAATTTCAGTCAGAAAGTCAAGGGTCAGTCACCTACAACTGCCCCAGTAAGAATGAGTGAGCTTGTCGTTGGAAGAGCTGCAGTTCTACCTACTATACTTGTCTAGATCCTGCCTCCTTGTCATCTGTGTTATCAAGTTAAAGGTTTCAAATCCTCTTTAAAAAACCCCCCACAGTCGTTCCTTAGCAGAGAGGGCTGCAGCCACTGGAGTTTTCTAATAAATGAAGGGTAGGGGGGAGAGATAAGAACATCAACACTTTGGCTGACATTCAAATTGATAGTTTTAAGGCAGGCAGCTCTGGGGAATTCCAGGGATGTCTTCTGCACATGCAGGCCTCCAAGAATCAATTCATTCATAATTGTGACATCAGGAACAGCCTTTGATCTGTGCTCTGTTACTCTCACCACAAGGTAGAGGCCTTCAGGCTTCATCAGTCCTTAACACTGCATATTGGTTCCTAATAACTGCAGGCCACCTTGCCTATCAGAGCTGCTAGAGATTGTGTTCTCTGCACAGGGCCGGAAGCAAAGCCCAGTTGAGTCTGGTGGCTTGCAGAAAACTATGGAAAACTTTAGATCAGCCTTGACCAGTGTTTGAAGGGCAGGGCTGATGTTGTTTTAGAAAAGCCAGATGTGGGCATGGCTGCTAGTGTCTCCTTCGATCCTAAGGGGCGGAAGCATGCCCCCTGCCAAGGGCCCTAGCACTTCCAATGGGTTTAGAAAGCTGGGGGTAACCAAGAAGCTTTCTACACTCCCCAATACTTTCAGTATGTCAAACACTCACCAAAACCCTGCTTAGCTCTAATTTCTACCAGGCCAAGGAGGGGCAGAGAATAGATCAAAGCCCAAGCCCCCTGCAGGAGGATGGCACCAAGGCTGCTGTGACTTGCCTGTCTCTGCGGGACTCAGGGCTGGGCAGGGGAGGTTCTAATCCAGTCTGGGATGTAAATATGTTTCGCTTTAGCTCCACCTGTTGCTCTCCCTTGCCAGGCCACTGGAAAGTCCCGTCCTGTGCCTGGGAAGCAGGAAGGGATCAGAGGTGCAGCTAGCCTGACTCTAAGCCAGCCGTCCCACCCCGGGAGCGAGTTTCGGCACCATGACTGTGGGGGCCAGGCTGGGTGGGAGGGTGAAAGCCAAGTTCTCCTCCTCGGGGCCTGGTGAGGACAAGATCTCCATCCTGGAGAGGCAACAGCAGGAGGAGGAGAGCCTGGGAGCCCCGGGCAGCCAGGCAGAGGAGACCTGCCGCTCCAAGAAAGTGCGCTTCGCCTTCCTCCCGGACAACTACGAGCCGCTGCGGCAGGAGGGCTCGGCAGGCAGGAGCAAGTGCAAGAGGAAGCTGAGGAAGTACAGCAAGGTAAGGAGCCCGCTGCCCAGCCCTGGCGCTGCCCCCGGATCGGGCTCCGCCGGGCTCGGGGGGAGCCGCTAACAAACGCCGCGCCCGGGGCGGCTCCCGGGACCACACGGCCCCACGCTGCTTCGCTTGGGAGTCCCGGGCCTGCCCCTGCCGGCGCTGGGCTGGGCCTTGGCACGCGGCTGCTGGGTGGCCCCAGACTCCGAGTGCTCGGAGTTGGCCGGAGGCTGCAGTCAGCCCCTAGCGCCTGGGGCGAGCCGCGGGCTAGCGATCAGCGCGCACAGAGCAAACCCAGCCCAGCCGGCTCCGGGGCGCTCCACGGCCCTGGGTGCTGAGCACCGCCGGGCTCGGGCTCTGCTGCCTGGCCAGGCGCTGGGCGGAGGGCGAGCTAGGAAGGGGTTAATAGCTCGCTCCAGTCGTGCCAGAGGCCCCGCGTCTGACACTGACCAGCCCGGACCGTGCACCCCGCGCTCTCCCCAGCCAGGCGGGGTCGGTGTGTTTAGCTTGGTGGACGCTCCGCGGTTTTAACTCTGTTTTAAATGCATCATCTGCCTTTCCGGCAGGCTCCTCTTAGCAAAGGGCTCTGCTGGTGGCGCGGACTGGGCTAAGGGGGGTGGTTCCCCACCTAATATCCGTTTCAGGACTTGACTTTCATTTATGCTCCAGAAACTGCACTTGAAACTTGAAGCACTATGAATCCTTTGCATTCCTCCCGCATCTTTCCGTGTGCGGTTCTGCAAACATTATTGAATGCAACCTCCCCTCATTTTTGTGGGGTGTGTCAGTCCCCATGTCACTAACAGGTAAACAGAGGCAAGTGCAGGTTGCCATTCACACAAGGTCACACAGAGAATCGTAGCAGAGCCTGGACTAGAACCTAAACATTCTGTCTCCCCATCCCACTTTCCTCCCTTCCAGGTCCCGTTTTTAATGTGTGCAGTAAGACATGGCCCTGATTTTTCTGCTCTATCTGTGGCAGTGATGCTTGTGCTGAGAGGAGACCTATTAGTGGGGCAGGACAGCTTCCTCCTCTATGTGTTAGAGAGTGGAGGTGGGAGACTACAGCACTCTTCTATCCCTTCAACTTTCTTCTCTGCACCCTCCCCGCTGTGCAATGCTGCTTCAAAGAAAGAATTTACTGCAGGATCTGTCATGCTCCAGTGTCGCTAAATGTGACAGCAACTCCCAGTTTGTAGCCTGACACCGGAGATGCAGACTTTAAAGCTCACAGTCTTCCCCTGTTGCCCCCTCCTTTAATGGTGAAGAGCCAGGCTCCTCTTCTGTCACTCAGACTCCTCTGTTAATCAGAGGGACAAAGGAAAATTAACTTGTAAGGTGCTTTTAAATAGTTGATCACTGGCATCATGTGCTAGTGAACTGACATGTCACAAAAATTGTATTCAAAAATCAGAGGAAAAGGGAATGCAAACTGAGAGATGGTGTTAAAAAAAGGAATGAATACACCAGACAAACCCTAAATGCAAACGCAAGTATGACTGCCCTGGCAGGGAGGTCACTGCTGGTTTCGGGAAATAAAACTAGAGGAGGAATGGTTGTGTGGTGAAGGATGATGGGGAGATCTGCCTTCACTTCCTTGCTGTACCACAGACTTCCTGTGTGGCCTTGGGAAAGTCACATTGTCTCTCTCTGTCTCATTTCCCCATCTGTAAAATAGGGCAATACTTCCCTACTGTGCAAAGGTGCTGTAAGGATTGATTGATGTATGTGAAGGGTTCGGACATTGTGCTGATGGGAGCCTTATAGTACATAGATAGATGAGCAAGAGGGGAAAATTAGACTACAGCAAGCACTAGAAGTCACTTAGAAGTGCAGCAGTAGGAGACCCTTTTTTAGAGGGTTGCCAAGAATTTCTGGAACATTACACCTCACTGAACTCCTGCGAGTTGTTACCCCATTTTACAGATGGAGAAATGAAGTGACTTGCTCAAGGTTACACCAGAAATAAGTGGCAGAGTTGGGAGTAGACTCCGGGTGCCCTGACACCTAGTCCTGTGCCTTGACCACAAAACCATGTAGTGAACAATCCTGCACGGATCTCAGGGAGAGGGTAAGGGAAGTAACTGACAATTATTTCCTCAAACTTCTTATTGTAACATCAGAAAGTTGTAAGTGTAAGTCTTAAAGGCACTAACCTCCATTGTCCTTAGGAGGTGAATCACAGACTGCTAAAAAAATACACTTAATATCCTATGGCTGCAACCCTGCCTTTGCACTTAAAAGTAAACTTGTGCTAAAGTGGTGAGTTCTCAGATCACTATAGTAACTGTCCAACAGATTTCCTAGGTATGTAAAATCACACTTAAAACTAACTTTAAAACATCCCTAAATATCTCTCACGCAGATATTTTGAGGCTTTCTAGAAATACATTGCTGCCATTCATAGGAAAGAGAAATGTTTGCTTGAAAGACAATTCATTAGTTAAATCTGAGGAAGCAGCCTGCTGACTTTCTTTGTTGTTCGGAAGAAACCAGTCCCATTAGAGAAGGAATGAAACTGACTCTCACTTAGATCAAAGGATAGAAAATCTGTCATTTCAGTCTGGAAATGGCACTAAGCTAATCCATGTGAGGGATACTTTACATTTCTTTGTGCTGCATTTCTCTAGCGTTCTTATTTTGACATCGTTCTAATTAACTACAAGTATTAGGGGGAGGATTTTTTTCTTTTCCAGCAGCAACAAAAAAAGTATAATAAGATTCCATATATCTATAAAATGATCAGTTTAGAGTCAAGGTGTCCCTGAAAGTTGCACACAAATTTTAAGGGGGAAAAGTAACAATTTTTTACTTTGGTAACTATCATCATTTAGGTCAAAAATAACTCCTATTCCGAAAGTAACATTCCTCTTGAATAATTTTGGTAAATCAATGTTGTCCATTTAATCTGTGCTTGGTGCTCAAATTTGGGTCTGGGGGGTGCTAACTGGGTCAGCCATGGCCATACCCCAGCTCAGCCTCCTCCATTTCCCCCACAAAAAAATATTTTCACCGGCCACCTATGAGCGAGTCAAATAAATGATGTGGAAGTGGCGGCCAGTTGCCCATCCCTGGTCTAAGGTTTAGGGCTCATCTACACTTAAAATGCGACTGTGGCACGACTGCACCACTATATCTCTTCAGTGAGGACTCTACCTATGCTGACGGGAGGGTCTCATATCGGTCCCCTAGAGGCCATAGCTAGGTTCTCCTTTTGACCTAGTGCTGTCTATCCGGGGGATGAGCTCCGTTTAACTGTGTCACTCAGGGGACCAGGTGTTGATTTTTCATACCCCTGAGTGATGTAGTTACACTGACCTAATTCTCTAGTGTAGACTAAGCCTTAGTTTACACATAAAAGTTTACCAGCATAATTATATTGGTTAGGGGTATCTTTTTTTTTTTTTTTTGCAGACACAGCTATGTCAGTAAAAGCCCTAGTATAGACACAGTAGTAGTAGTGGTATAAAAGTTTTTATCCCAGTGTATCTTATGGCAGTTCTGGGAATGGGCATAAGCACTTTTATACCAATAACCGCATCTACAGGGGAAAGGTTTGGCTTGTTTAATGATACCCATATAGTTAAACTGGCAAAACTCTTAACTGTAGACAAGGCACACAAAAGACAGGAAGGAAACAGAGGAGCAGTAACTTGCGCAGTGTCATACAGCAGCTCCATGGCTGAGCTGGGAAAAGAACCCAGGTCTTCCAATCTGCTGCCCTACCCACTGGTCTACTGCCTCTCAATCTGGCCACCCTAACGCTATTAAAACGTGTATAGGGTTTCATGGGAGTGAGGACTGCAGAGTTTGGCCCATCAAGGGACATTGTCTGATCTCATCTGGTCTTTCAGGTGCTGCAATTCAATTTTAGGGAAAGCTATTTCTATAATAGAAATGGATTGGATTCCACCGATTTTGTTTTAGACAGATAAACATTCACCTGTAGCGTGTGCAATGCAAACATTGCAGTCTTGGGCTAGTCCCGGAGGGCCTGAAAGTAAATTTGACTAGAAGCTAACTATAAACAAAAAAGCACTGGCCCAGACTGTTTAACTGTCCAATCATGAGAAACGCCAAATGTAAGTAAATAGCATCAAGACTGAAAGGAAAATTAGATTAATATTTTCAATTTGAATAATCTATCTTGGGTTTCCTGCAATGCTGTAAACAAATGTGTGAGTTTTTAATAGATATATATTGAAACAGAGATGGTCAAAATTTGAAATGTTGACAAAAAGAGTTGAAATGTTTGTGTACATTTCCATTAAACGTTCACCCCAATTTTAACCAGCTAGTGTCCTTCTTAAATGCAAGCAATCTAATGGTCTTTATAACACACTTAAGGCTTGTCTGCTTGGGAAAGCTCTACTGGTATAAGCTAAGGCGTGAGCTTAAACCTATATAGTTACACTGATATAACCCTGTTTCAACTCTCTTATTATCGAACGATGCCTTTTTTCAGTTTAGCTTATGTTACTTTGAAGGATGTTTAAAAAAAAAAGAAGCCATTCTTGCTGCAGAATAAGAGTGTCCACATGGCAATTTATACTGGTATAACTATATCAGTTGAATTATGCTGGTCTGACAGGTAAAACTTTCCCCTGTGGACAAGCCCTAAGAAGATGGTGGGTCTGTTCATATTCTGAGGTTGTGGAAGGACATATAAAATGGCTGCCCTTTATTTGAGCTCCCCAAACTGTTTAATTTGATGTTATTTTCTGTTCTCTCTCTCTCTCTCCCGCCCCTTTCTTCTCTAAAAATAGAATGTTGGCAAAGCTCTCCAGAAAGGATGTCGCTACTTGGTGATTGGCCTGCAAGGATTAGCAACTGCATATGCAGCACCCTTTGGAGTAGCAGCATCAGTAGCCTCCTTGGTCCGCTAGAGTGGCTCTGCCTGTCTCATAAAGGAAGAAAAAATGAGCTTTCATAGAGGAGTACGGTGATTTGTACTTTCCTAGCAGTAGATCTGCTGCTGTGACCTGCATCTGAAAATTCTTTTCAACAACAACAACAAAGGAAGATGCTGACGTGACAGAGTATTCTATTCTGGAACAATCGCATTTCTCCAGTGCCTTTCATGCAAACATCTTAAGTGCTTTTCAGCTATTAAAATCAGATCCAGTGAAAGAATGTGCAAGCCCAAGGAAATAATCATAAATTAATTGAGCCAAAGTTTGTAATTCTAAATGACTTAATTTACTCAAGCCTGATGCTATGTGTGAAAAGGAGCAAAGGGGAAGGGAAAGCAAGTAGAAGAGGGAGAGAGGTCTGAGTGGAAAAACAGGAAGGGGAATAAGGCGCGAGAAGTAGTGGAGATTTGATGCTGGTTATGAGGAGGAAAAGTCAAAATAATGTAAGGAAATGGAGATAGTAAAGGTATCAGGAAAAGGTAGCCTCACAGCCTTTGATTTGCTTGTGTATTTTAATGCTTTGTTAGTGACAGCTACAATCAATATGTTCAGATACTATATGTCTCAGGTCTGAGACATGGTAGGCTTTACTACCTCAGTATTGCCAATTCTAGACATTGAGAAATCATGTCTTGGGCCCTGCAAAATCACGAGATTTGCTTAAAAATCACAAGATTTTAAGAAAAAATATATATATTGTTTGCTTTCTGATTTTTGAGCCTTTAGGGTTCCCTCTAATTATGTTGCCAAGCTTTTCTCTGCAATGGTGAGGGCTAGAAAATTACTTAAAAAAAAAAAGAAAGCTGAGAATCTTGTGTAATCACTTGACACTGGGAGCTGGGGCTTTAAGAAAAATACCAAATATTGCAAGACTCTGGAAAAAACACTCCCAGGCACATCTGAGGCCCATAGAATTCTACTAACTCTGTATTCATTTCATTTTGTGAAAGTTGTGGCGATGCCTTATCAAAATGAAACGTTCCGATGGCTGGGCTAAGAAATTTGGATGGAGATCTCCTAACATCACACTTTGAGGGAAACATATCTGAACTGTTATTGACATGAGATCAAGCATTTTCCTTACCAATATTTGGAGTTCTAAGTTGTGCTTTTCTGCTATTCTTTTAACTAAATCTTGTTGGCGTGTTCTCTTTGCCTTACTATGAATGAACTGGAATTGCCTCGCTTAAGAAGCCAGATTGTGTTTCTCTGAATGGTGATCAGAAAAATGAAGAACTGTAAATAAAAATAAAAATGCTCCCTTTGCTTTTGTGAATGTTATTTTTAAGTGCACAAATGAAAGGAAGTTTTTTATTCACAAAACAAGTACAGCATAGGCAGCTGCAGTGCAAGCTTCCCCACATTGCCTATTAACAGGCCTCCGCCCTGCCCTGGAGAAACCATCACTACGGATGAGAGATGATAGGTAAGTGGTGGAGGACCATATTGTCCTTGATGTGTCAGCTCAAACTTCCAACAAGGCTGCCAGTGGGTATCTGTTGTGATGGTGTTTTTTGCAATGTGAACGCTTGTCCACTCAGAGCTGCACTCAGACCCACAATCCTCACTTCACACGAGCCACCAAATGTGTTTGGATTAATCTCACTCCCCCCCCCCCCCTTTTTTTTTTTTTTTTTTTTTACAGCTCTGCATTTGCTTCCTTCTGAGAAACTAATGATTCTTTGGGTGGGGGAGGAAATAGCAAGAGGGATATATGGCTCAGGTTTTGATTCCATACCCAGCCAGCAGTTCTTATGCCATAATATAATAGCTGCTTGCTAATGGGTAACTCACAGACTCTAGCCTGTTATCACCAGGGATTTTCCACAAAGGTAAATATGAACTTTAGCTTGTAAATTGCTCTGCCTGATGGTAACTGTGTTCTCTTGTCTACTGAACTATGGCCTCCCTTTGGCTACTGAACTATGGCCTCCCTTTGGCTGGTGCAGCTTTTATGGAATAGGCTTGTTGATTTAGTTGGGGATTGGATTGAGCAGGGGGTTGGACTAGATGACCTCCTGAGGTCCCTTCCAACCCTGATATTCTATGATTCTATCAATGCATTTTCAAAGTGGGGCTAGAGATCGAGTTTTTAGTGCTGGGCTTGGGGCGGGGGCGGGGGAGAGGTTGAGGCTTATTGGCAAGAGAAATGCACGCTAAATGATGCCCCTAAAATAGACCAAAACCCAACAATCAAACAACAAATCGAGCGAGAGAGACAATAAACAGCTGATATTGTTGCCATTAAATTGTCAGTGATTCATGTCAAGGCTGCTTTTCCTCCTTGAAATCAACTAGTTCATTTCTTGCTGAGGCTGACAATTGCTGTCAGTTATTTATATTTCTCAACCAACGCTCTCCTCTCCCTCCTCCTTTCAACATAAAGTCAGTCTAAGGGCCTGGAGCTCCTGGTGCTAGCATAGCACAGAGTGAAAAAGCAGGGTACAAAATGCCAAGTCAGCAAACCCCCAACACATGGAAAAAATGGTTCAGTGGCATGGGGCCTAATTTTCAGGAGTGCAAAGGGGCACATGGCTTCCACTGTAGTCAGCTGTGCATGCCGAGCACCTCTGCTAATCAGGCCCTGATGTGTTTATAATCTGAAAAGGCAGCATTGTAAAACTTCTGGCCTCGGTGCAGCGTGAGTTTGAATGAGATGCAGCATGTTCATACTTCATGAACAAACCAGTGCCCACTGTCCTGTGGTGAGGTTGGAGGGGCTCTGAAGTGACACCACATGCATACAGGATCACCAGAGCAGTCTGTGATTATACCTAGATGTTGGTAGGGGCCTTTCATGCTGTTCCCTAAATACAGTGAACCCAGACAAATCAACTGCTTACTGGAGATGGCCTAATGGAGGAGCAAAGTAAGTTTGGGGGTATGGAATGGTTTGTCATAGGCATGGCCGCTTGGACAGGTGGTGGTGTACCCTTTCAGGAAGCAGGCAGTGTAACAGACCAAGTTGACCATGGTGGAAAAGGATAGTTGTCTTTATGTAGCAGACACACAGAGCATATTTGGTTTTGGTACCTCTGCTGCTTTTTCACTTACTCTTCCATCTCCTGTGCCTGTTTTGTACCCACACCCATTGCTCCACCTGAGAGGTGGGTGTTTTTGGAAGGCGTGCTGTTGTGTGACTGCCATGTCTATATTGTATGTTTTCACATTTTTTACCCAACTTCCATGATGTTTTACTTCGGAGGTCATGCTACAGCTCAAGGAGTTGAACACATCCAAGGGTTGAATTGGAAACAAAACAATGGTGGATAGCTCCAAGCTCTGCCCATAAAACAAGTTCCGCCCATGTGAATCACCAAAAGGAGAAGCCCCTCACAGTAGATTGTGTAGGTATTCACAGTTTGATTGTGTGTGATGTCTGAGCTCCCTGACCTTGGCTTCCCCTTGGTATGGCTTAATTCTACCCACTTGCTGTGCTAGGTTCCTTTTGTTTGGCTCATTCTAACTGGGGGATGGGGAATGGTGATAATTCCCAAAGACCACCCACTTGGGGCATCAAAATGAGACTTAACTCATAGTAAATTTTACTGATCTATGAGCCTCCCTCTCCCTTCTTACAAGAGGAACGAATTAGAAAACAAAGTTGATTTACATTATCATGCTTTGGCATCTGAGTTAACACCTCCCTCGAATAAATGGGGCAGTTGACATCTCTCAAAGCTATTTTTCCAGGCTCTTTGCAGACTCTCGGCATCAAATAACCTCAAAAATGAGAGATTCTTCACAAACATGACTGCTAGCTAACCTGAGATTCGAATTTTTTTCTCAAAAAGAACAGGAGTACTTGTGGCACCTTAGAGACTAACAAATTTATTAGAGCATAAGCTTTCGTGGGCTACAACCCACTTCTTCGGATGCATATAAAGTGAAATATATTGAGGAGATATATATACACACATACAGAGAGCATGAACAGGTGGGAGTTGTCTTACCAACTCTGAGAGGCCAATTAAGTAAGAGAAAAAAAACTTTAAGTGATAATCAAGATAGCCCAGTACAGACAGTTTGATAAGAAGCAAGTGTGAGAATACTTACAAGGGGAGATAGATTCAATGTTTGTAATGGCTCAGCCATTCCCAATCTCTATTTAGCCCTGAGTTGATTGTGTCTAGTTTGCATATCAATTCCAGCTCAGCAGTCTCTCGTTGGAGTCTGTTTTTGAAGTTTTTCTGTTTTAAGATAGCCACCTGCAGGTCTGTCAAAGAATGGCCAGACAGGTTAAAGTGTTCTCCCACTGGTTTTTGAGTATTATGATTCCTGATGTCAGATTTGTGTCCATTAATTCTTTTGCGTAGAGACTGTCCGGTTTGGCCAATGTACATGGCAGAGGGGCATTGCTGGCACATGATGGCATATATCACATTGGTAGATGTGCAGGTGAACGAGCCCCTGATGGTATGGCTGATGTGATTAGGCCCTATGATGGTGTCACTTGAATAGATATGTGGACAGAGTTGGCATCGGGCTTTGTTACAAGGATAGGTTCCTGGGTCAGTGTTTTTGTTCAGTGATGTGTGGTTGCTGGTGAGTATTTGCTTTAGGTTGGGGGGTTGTCTGTAAGCGAGGACAGGTCTGTCTCCCAAGATCTGTGAGAGTAAAGGATCATCTTTCAGGATAGGTTGTAGATCTCTGATGATGCGCTGGAGAGGTTTTAGTTGGGGGCTGAAGGTGACAGCTAGTGGTGTTCTGTTATTTTCTTTGTTGGCCCTGTCTTGTAGGAGGTGACTTCTGGGTACTCGTCTGGCTCTGTCAATCTGTTTTTTCACTTCAGCAGGTGGGTATTGTAGTTTTAAGAATGCTTGATAGAGATCTTGTAGGTGCTTGTCTCTATCTGAGGGATTGGAGCAAATACGGTTATATCTTAGAGCTTGGCTGTAGACAATGGATCGTGTGGTGTGTCCTGGATGGAAGCTGGAGGCATGTAGGTAAGTGAAAACAAGACAGCAGAGAGGTGTTGGTATGCCGAGCTGTTTGCTAGTCCTGAATTAATCCAAAGCTGGAGCCAGCACAGTGGAGAAGTGACTGTGATAAAAGGAAATAGGAAAAGGACCAGTTGAGTTTTGGAAAGGGATCTACAAGGGGGTGGGGGGTCAATATGCTGCCTCTCTTTTTGGCTTTCTTATGATGATATATCGAGGCCTGAAAGGTGGCTTTTTAAACATTCGGGGGACTTTTACCTTTAAAATATCAGGAATGGCAAGTCTTCCAGTTTCTGCAGAAGGTCTCCAAAGAGGACCAGAGAACTAGAATGGGAATTGTCTCAGCCCTCTATTGAAGGGGTAATGGTAATGAAGTTTTCACAAAAAGATCTTGTCTTCCAAGTGTTTGTCAGGAGTTTTTAAGTTTCTGTTTAGACATTTATACTACAGTAAATGCTGTGGCAGTATGGCCAGGCTCAAACATTTATAAATAATAAGGAAGGCCCCCAAAATCATGAGGTTGGTTTAAAAATAATGAGATCTAATAAACGTTGCATTAGGTTATTTGCCTTCTGGTATCTGAGCCTTTAAAGTGCACTCAGGTCACAATTTCAAGTATTTCTCTGCAACCATGAGGTCTAGAAACTTTTTCTTTCCAAATGAGAGCTGAGGTTCTTTGTCTAATAACATGATCCCAGGAGCTGAGGTTTTAAGAAAAACACCAAATATTGCAAGAGTTGGCAATGCTGCAGCATGGGCAAATAGGTTAAAGAGAAATTCCTTCCCCTC